TTTTCTAGCAGACAATGTTAGATTGCCTACTTTATATATTTAGAGTTTTAAGTAGAGGATCCGTTTTTATATAGCGTTTCACTGCTGGCTGCGAGGCATAATCCAGAATATAGTTTCGGGTCTCAGTTCTATTAGAGATTTATCGCAGACTATTTGATAGAAGGAGTAACGTGTGACATAATAATAAACTGCGGGCAAGCATCTTAACACAGAAATTATACTATAAATTGCAAGAAATCCGTTCCAAATTATAGATGTACGTCTGAGATCGTAGGCGGGTCTAAACTTCATGTACTCTCTTAGTAAACAGACAGTCGACAGATATATGAATGATACGTAGATGGAATAATGCCAGTATCTTTTGAAAAATGTTTTCATGTCTTCGTTATTGATAATAGCTTCAAAGCCATAATTACTTAAATGGGATTCAGTTAAATTAAACGACTTCATTTCGGGACGAATAAGCTGAAAAATGTTAAATATATTTAAAAAAGTGAATATATATGCATATATAACTGTAAATAAACGTTTATATATATTTATCTGCATTTAGGCTATATATATTTACAGTAAAACCTCGAGTTTCGAACATAATTTGTTCCTAAAACCGATTTGTTCTAAACCCGAAACAAATTTCCCCATAGGAAACAGTATAAAATGAATTAACCATTTCCGACCTCGAAACAAAACCTTTTACCTTTTTATCTGTATTTCATACATAAAAATGCCTGTGAAAGTATTATAATATTATATAAATATTATTTTAACTATATCTATATTTATTCTATATAAATATATAAAAGCCAAATGTTCTTTCACCGCCAACCGAAACCGAAACTAACACGTTAAAAAAGTGCTCTAAATAGAGACTTAAATCTGTGTGGATGAAATATAACCGAATCAATGAAGACAGACAACAAGTATTTCATGCACACTTTCGAAATATTATGTTTTAATTGATTTGATTTCAATTATAATTATAATTAATTAATTAATTAATTTTATTTATTTATTTTTTGTTTTCTGAAACCGTGTTTTAGTATTTATTGACTGTTGAACACAAGATTGTGTTATTAATTAAATACTTGGCTTTTTTCCATCTTTATTTAGTTGATAAGGGTACNTTCGATTATTTCTTATGTAAGAATTATAGAATAAATAACTGAATAAAAATAGATACGATACATACATTACAAACATGAATTCGAGGTTGTCTTTAGAAGTATCACATTTGTAACCATTGATGAGCAGCCAATAGACCCAAAACGAGAGCAAGACTCCAAATAACATCTGCAATGTTTGTATAGCTGTAATAAACATGGAGATTTTAACAGGAATCTTTACATTCAAATACTTTAAAGCGAAATAAGAATACATAAATGAATGAACTACGATATTCATAAATCCAAAGCAAATTCCAAAAGAACCCTCTTTAGATCTGGTATACCATATTGCAATTAGAGTAGCCACGTGATGATACCAATGCAAAAACATCAGTTTCCTTTTTCTTAACACTATCAACAAGGTATCTCCCAATTCCCAAACTTTTGAAAGTGAAAAAAGCATAATCCAGAATATAGTTTCGGGTCTCAGTTCTATTAGAGATTTATCGCAGACTATTTGATAGAAGGAGTAACGTGTGACATAATAATAAACTGCGGGCAAGCATCTTAACACAGAAATTATACTATAAATTGCAAGAAATCCGTTCCAAATTATAGATGTACGTCTGAGATCGTAGGCGGGTCTAAACTTCATGTACTCTCTTAGTAAACAGACAGTCGACAGATATATGAATGATACGTAGATGGAATAATGCCAGTATCTTTTGAAAAATGTTTTCATGTCTTCGTTATTGATAATAGCTTCAAAGCCATAATTACTTAAATGGGATTCAGTTAAATTAAACGACTTCATTTCGGGACGAATAAGCTGAAAAATGTTAAATATATTTAAAAAAGTGAATATATATGCATATATAACTGTAAATAAACGTTTATATATATTTATCTGCATTTAGGCTATATATATTTACAGTAAAACCTCGAGTTTCGAACATAATTTGTTCCTAAAACCGATTTGTTCTAAACCCGAAACAAATTTCCCCATAGGAAACAGTATAAAATGAATTAACCATTTCCGACCTCGAAACAAAACCTTTTACCTTTTTATCTGTATTTCATACATAAAAATGCCTGTGAAAGTATTATAATATTATATAAATATTATTTTAACTATATCTATATTTATTCTATATAAATATATAAAAGCCAAATGTTCTTTCACCGCCAACCGAAACCGAAACTAACACGTTAAAAAAGTGCTCTAAATAGAGACTTAAATCTGTGTGGATGAAATATAACCGAATCAATGAAGACAGACAACAAGTATTTCATGCACACTTTCGAAATATTATGTTTTAATTGATTTGATTTCAATTATAATTATAATTAATTAATTAATTAATTTTATTTATTTATTTTTTGTTTTCTGAAACCGTGTTTTAGTATTTATTGACTGTTGAACACAAGATTGTGTTATTAATTAAATACTTGGCTTTTTTCCATCTTTATTTAGTTGATAAGGGTACTTCTACACGTTTCGGGCACTTAGCAGCGACGAATCGTTCCATTGTGATGTATCGTCTGTAATGAACTTCATGCCATCAACTAAAGAACCAGAAAACGAAGACGCTGAATGTATCTTCTGTAACGGAAAATTCTCCGAAGATGAACGAGGGAGAATTTGGATTCAATGCTTCAGCTGTTCTCTGTGGGCTCACCTTGATTGTACCGGGGCAGAGATAGAAAATTATATCTTTTGTAAATAGACTCGAAGCAGGAATGACATGCACATAATCTTAAAAATATGGTTTTTATAGTTAAAAATAACTGTTTTATGAAATCTAATTAGTTTTTCAATGGTTTAAACCACCTATTCCATATTATCCTTCATTTGTGACTTTTTTTAAATAATTTTTTTTTATTACAACAAAATAAATAGTACTTTTTTTACAAGTGACAGTTTATTACAATTAGTTATAGTATGTACTCATGATGATTTTGGGATTTTTATTCAAAAACCAGTAAAGTTATTTTTAGAAATGTAAATAGTATTCCATAATACCTCCTCTCCTCTACTGTATATGAGCTTCAATAAATAAATAAATAAATAAATAAATAAAATAAATTTTATCAAACGATGAGATCATCCGATTAATTGTATCGTGTACAATATTTTATACCCCTAAGTAAAATACAGTAGGTCTACGGTAAAATAAATTTTGCTTTACCACAGTTAAACTTCGCCGCTAATTGCCGTTGTGATAAACCATTTTCACTTTCTCTGATAATTTTAACACCATCTTCTAACGACAGCACTTTGCATTTCTTTCGTTTTTCTGACATTATTGAAATGAATTTCTTTTGTTGCTAGACTAATTTATTAACACCTTCACCTAATTTCAAGGGTGGGAGAAGTGCCCTGGGTGGGTTCGAACAAGAGTTTAGACCAGATATATTCACGGAAGTGGTCGCTTATTACAGGTGTCGTATGTTGTTTCGGACCAAAAATCGATGCCCGCGGTCGCGTTATACAGGTGGTCATTTAATACGGGTAACTTATACGAAGACTCTATGTATAAACTATTCCGTGCCAGAAATTTTTGTTCGTTTTGACAGGTGCCCTTCGAATGCAGGTGGTCGCCTAAGCAGTTTTCACTGTGTAACGCATTTTCAAGGGAAATCCTTTTCCATAGATTCTTGAAAACGAAAGAAAATAGAGCCAGTTTTTGCGTTAGAATCCTATTTAATTCTTCTATTAACCTATGGTTTAGAGTTTTGAAACTTCAATTCGTTACTTTCCTATAAATTTTTAAAATTGAAAAGTCAAAATTTAACCGATCAAAATAACTTCTCCCAAATTATATTTTATAACAGCCCAGAAAGTAAAACATGGGTTAAAGAGAGATAATTTATTACGAATATAGAATATAAATTATATAAAAAGAAACAACTTACCTGTTTACCTTATGATAACAATTAATAAGCAACAATTATCCCGTGACAAAGGAGAATGCAAATGGTGCACTGAGACAAAACAGAAATACAGCCAATTGCTTCATAAAAAAACAGGATCTAGAACAGATAACAAAACAGGAATAACTAACATATAGTCATAGGAAATTCACAGGAAATCAAACACATATATCAATACAGAACGATGATCTGAATATAAGAAAACCACGTTCTTATATTCGTATTTTTAATGATGATTTTAATCAATCTTAAACTTTATTAATAAAAGGGAAAATCTTATTACAGGAGGCATAGTAAAGGTAATATTTAAATTAAATAATGTATATATACATTAATTTTACAAAATAAGTCAACATTATTAAATTAAACAGTTTCTTGATGATAAGTTTTTAAATAATTAGAAAGAAACTGTACATCTTGTATACCTCTACTCTACAAATAGCATTTAAAAAGTTCCAAAATAACATTCAGTAGATATAGCGACTATTTGATCTACTTGC